TTTGGCCACTGGCCACAATACTATTCCCAGCCATTGGCAAATGCTTGGCCGAAATCCGTGATGCTTGGGATCGTCCGCTGGTCTTGGCAATGTAAACTCGATATTCTCAAGAACACCAGCATTATTTCTTGTACATTCCTGTCGCTCATATATAATCAGTCCTTATCTGAAAGCCGCAATCCCTAAGACTGATAAATTTAGAAGGTAGTCCTGGGTTTTGAAGAGGGAATTTGCTCTACTCTCTGTAACTATCCCTCGATATCTTTAACGTCTGTCTCATCCAAACTGCTTGAGCACATACTTTACTCTCACACCATAACTCAATTAGCAACAAACAAATTTTTCTTTATGCCTCAGCATGAGTTGCAAATAGGACTATCCTGTGAGACGCAACTTTGTGTCTTCATTCATGATCTACGCACTAACCTCGAGTGTCATGCTTAGACCGACGCAGTCTATCTTGATTTCTCCAAAGCTTTCAACCGTGTCCCCCATCAACGTCTTCTTTAAAGGCTGTCTTCTCTTCACTTGGATCTTTTAGAGTTTGCATGGATGCGCGACTTTCTTTCCTTCCGCCTGGAGTTCACGGTCATCAATGAGCACGAGGCCACCTTAACCAATGTCTCCTCTGTGTTCTGGAATTGTCCGTTTTCAAGCCTCTTATTTATTTAATATTTATCAATGACCTTCCTTCCACCATTTCCTCTAAAATATGCCTCTTCGCAGACGACTGCGTCTTCTATAACGAAGTAACTTGTGTGCATGAGCACAACCAGCTACAAGATGACATAAAAATTAAGTAATGGTGCAACGCCTGGTGGTTGTCACCGAAACAAATCTGAATCTAAATCAATCCGCTTCACCAGAAAGAAATCTTTCCTATACCATCAGTACTTCCTCAACTTTGACATCGTCGAAACCGTTTCGACATATAAATATATTGGCGTAAGACTAACATCACAGCTCTCATGAAATAACCACAATGAAGCCATATATGCTCACTCATCAGGATCTCTGCGCTTTATCCCACATAACCTGCGCAGTGCCCCTCCACTCGTCCGTACAAAGGTGTACGACAGTGTCGTTCATCAAACCAAAATTAGAACATGCAGCTTCCATCTGGAGTCCCCATCAGTTCTACCTTATCAACCCCCTGGAGGCTGGAGGCGAAACCGGGCAGCTCGTTTCATCGCGCAATAGTCAAAGAAAGAATAAAAACACCTAGGGACAAGAACAGACAGCACAGTTCTTTCAACGAGCAACACACATTTACTGGTGTCTCCTTCAATAGTACTATCTCCCTCCTAACGTTTCAAACTAAAGAGGAACATGCGGAAAATAATATATTTATATACGCCCAGAAAAAAAAACACAAAATCACCCCGAATAGACTAGAAGATAAAGAAATTCAGAAAGAAAGAAAAACGAAGAAAAACACTAATGACAAATTCAGATAGAGCGCCCTTTGACCTATCCAGCTCTGGCTTCAGGTAGTTCATCTCAACTGTGGACAACGCGAGAGAAGGAGCAGCGATGTTGTGACCGTCCCCAAGCAACCACGTATGTCCGTCGGACGTCCGAACAAGAGCCGAATATCCATTGCCAGGGAAGGACGTCCGTCGGACGTACACTGGACATCCGTTTCCGTACGTCCAAATTCGGACTAATAGTGGACGTCCTGTGGATATACAGAAATGGATGTCCGAGGGCTGTCCATTTGTGGATGTTCGAACATATCCCAATAGGTATTGGGAAACCATTCAAAAACAGTTACTTAAAAGTGGTCCCATTCTGCACTAAACGATTATCATAACAGAACCTTTTTGTGCAGAGGATATACCTTTCCCTAATGAAGATAGGTTTGAGGCCCCCCCCCCCCCCCACCCCCCCAAGATTCTTTGACAGATTTGATGGCCCCTTCAAGATTTCCTGAGGTCTTAAGAGGTCCCATCACAGTATTTCCTGAAGTTCCATAGGGGCCCATCACAATTTTCTGCAAAGTCTGATGGGCCCTCTAGGATTTGCTAAGGGTTTGAGGGGCGCAATAGATGCTTTCTGGGGTCTCCAAGATCATTCAATAGGTATGACGGGGAAAAAAAGAGGTGGACACATCGGTAATTCGTTTTTTTTTTCAAGTGTTGTCCGAAGGTCCATTAATAGAGGCCTAGAACCTTAGAATTGTAAGCTCCTTTCAAGCTGATACTGTGTGCGGTAAAAAGAAAAACAGTATTGTATGTTCTCGACTACAAGTAATCAAATGAATTGTGATGCATGTGTACTACTTTTTAAAGTAATTTTGCAATCATTTGATTACATTTTACGTAGTGATGTCGCAGTGCCAGTTGGCCTTATGTTTCGTAAGCTAGAAGGAAACAAGGATGTTAGACAGCAAAATAGTTTTTTATTTGCAATCAGAACCAGGGCAGAGGCACCTTTCTCACACTTGAAGGTAGATGCCTACTCTCCCTTAGAAGTGGTGCACCTCTCCTTTGCGCGGCGAAGCCACTCCTTGACTTCCGTTTCCACCTCTTTTTTCGTAGACTCTTTGCAGTGCTTTGTCCGCTTTATAGCAGCTGAAAGCAATAGATGACCCTTATAGTACAACTTAAAAAGGCAGGGAATTGCGTTGCAAACTTCTACTTACCAAAGATCAATTTGTACAGCTTAAGGCTACGGAAAACCTTCTTCCCTTTGCGCCCATCCATGCTGAACTTGGCTGCAGCTTCGTCACTAATCAGGTGTGCAAGCATAGACCTTACAGTTGTTTTGATAGACAGGTCCCCAAGGGAGGTCAGCTCCACAACCTGGAAGGAACGTACAGAGCACGACACAGTTAATACGAACAAGACATAGCCAGTTTTCGCTGTTTTACTCTGACCAGTGAAACGCTATCCCCAAAGCTACTTATATCATGGAAAGGGTTCATCTTGGGGCAATAACCTTGGTTATAAGAAAATGCAATCCTCAATTCACTGTCCATGCAAAATGCCAATGCCGTGTTTGAGCACATAAAACGTGGGGCTGGTGCCTGGGGAACGTAAGACATGACATAAGGAGCATTACGATACCCAGAAAGCAAGTATAGCCAAAAATGTTTGGCATTCAAGGTTAGCTGGATAGAAAGAACCTGAGCATGAATGGGTTTACAGCTTGTATTAACTGGGCTAGGCTTTACAATTAGCCAATTCACACCCCCTCTTTATCTCCGAGGCCAGTATGAGTGAACTGGTGATACCTTGAGAAAGATTGAATGAATGTGAGGGCCCAAATTTTATTTTATTTGTGCAGTTGTTTACACCTCCTAGTCATTGTTCTATCTCATTAGTCATTTCCCATGCTCTAAGATCTGGAACTGTGGGACAGAGTTGCCATTTGAAGAAATACGGAAGTAGTCAGAGCTTGCTCTACACTCATGAAATAATGCTAAAGTATAGCACCATTACAAACACCTTTGTTGCTTACCAGAGAACAGGCAGTCTCACCCCTTCGATGCATCTCGATTTAAAATCACAGCTTGCTCCTAGCTTATTTGTTATCTGCATGTCTTAACCTTAGCTGCACACTAGGGATAAGACATAACAGCAAAGCCTAGAGAATGCAAACACCAATACTTGCCTCAGTAAGTGACAAAAACTAGAGTATGGGCAGGCATTGATAACAGCAATTGCTTACCAAAGCCTCACTCGTGGCATCTGTAAGAGCGCCATCAAACACCTCAATTGCTTCAGGAGTGTCGAGGGGATCAACGAGGATCGGCTGGCTGGGCTCTACAACGAAACTCTCACGCGCTCGTAGCAATGTCGAAATCATGTCCATTATCTCCGTCTGCTGGCTCCTCATGACGCTCATCCCATTCAGCACCCGTCGCTGAAACTCTGCATGCAAAGAAAAGGCTTGAAATAAATATTGGCAAATAAAATTAGTGCAGGCAGGAGACAACATCCTACTTACCAGCAGCACTCAAGATCCTAGCAGTGGACCGCAGATCAGCTAAAAAGAAAAAAAAAAGATGGCAAAAAGTCAAGAGCTTAGCCATTTCAAAACTATTCAAAGTTGTGCAACCATGCTGTGAAAGAAAAACAATTGAAATCAAATTAGCTTACCGCAGGTCGAAGCACTGGTGCTAGGCGTCATGTGTTGCATAGCCTGCAGTGCTGAAAAAATTTAATGAAGGACACACAAAATATCTTAATACGCAGCTGCAACACAATTCTGCAGTAAAGTACCTTGATCTAATCGACTGGGAGCCGACATCCTTGTCAATGTTTGAGATGCGGTTGAAAAACCACTGGCATCTACGAAGATAAAGACAACTGCAGGCGCTAGATGCAATAAGGGTACAAGGTGACTTGGATTGCTTCTCATATTTATTTATGTTATTTATTTATTTGGTACTTCTGAACTGCCCTTCAAGAGCCCGTGGGCCTACAGGAGGGTGCACCATGCATACATGCAAGAGCTCAAATGACACAGAATACAAAATTAAAAAACATGCCTAAAAAAGTAGGAAAAAAATTTACATATGTAATATCAACAGAATGTGACCTCCGACAGTGGAAAACATACAGCGCAGAAACCTGTTGCCCCCATATCTGTTGTTTAAAAAACAGAAAGGAAAACATACAATCAATGTATACCTTGAGCAGGGCTCGCACGCTAAAACTTCCAGGCAAAAAAATATCCACCTCTGGAGAGTTCACTTTATTTAATATGCTAAAAGCCTACCGAAAAGTTTCCAGATGTGAAAAAGTCACTTCGTTTTTGGCGGTATGGTGCTCCATACATTTGCTTGCTCAAATTTGATTAAATATAAAACTTCACCCAGAAAGATATGAAAGAGATGGCGATTGTTTTTGCAAGCTTTGCATTTGAATTTGCACTGCTAGTGTGCGTAGCTCTTTATTTGTAAAACGATCATGCAATGTACCTTTATTTCGTGAACTGGGAGCCGGTGTCGTTGTTGACGTTTTAGGTGTCTGGAACGAACCACAAGCACCTGCGAAGATAAAGACAATTGAAGGGGCTACATGCAAGAAGGGTACATGGTGACATGGATTTTTCTCATATTTAGGTTCCTAGATGTGAAGAAAGCCACCTTGTTTTTGGTGGCATGGTGCTCCATATATTTGCTTGCCCAAATTTGATTAAATATAAAACTTCAGCGCTCACACGGAAATGAAATTAAAGTTAATTGGTTCTGCAAGCTTTGCACCTCAACTTGCAGCAATATGTGCATAGCCCCTCATTTGTAAAATGGCCATACATTATAGGTTGTTCGCACATAACGTCAATTTGGCATTTTGTTGTTAGCTTGTTTTTTCACACAAATTTACTACATTGAAGGATTACATCGTAACCGGTTGAGATGATGTCAGCGGTGCTCTACGCATTTGAGGGGGCGTGTCAATCCTTGGAATGCTCGAGTTTGGCACACGCCAGACAGCTCACAACAACAAAATGGTGGACGAAATTACGTCAGTGAAAACACCCTATAGCTACCTTTATCTTGTGGACTGGGAGCCAGCGTGTTTATCGAAGTGCTAGACGACTGGGACGAACCACTAGCACCTGTTTGGAGATGTCTGATTAAGTTGGGAATTGGTAACATTAGAATACAAAAAGCGAAAAACAATATAAGTGGTTTTCAGGAGAAACTGTACCTCGCATTAGTGCAGCTTGCGACATTTCACTGTGTATTGATCTTGCCGGGCTCGCACTCTGTGATTCCAGTCTCTGGCTACTGGCTGTGAAAAGCGACCAGAAAACCTGAAATTGTAAGATGAAAAAAGTACAAATTGATCTCCCAAAATATAAAAAATGCAGTTGTGCCCCAATTCCCTATATAAGCACATTGTTTACGTAAAATGACAGATCAAGTACGTCTGACGACACACCCTAGACTTATCAAGTGCCAGGTTCGAATTCTAAGCTAAAGGTTAAGAAACAGTTGCAACGGTCAACAAGGCTGTCAGCTGCAGAACAAAATAAAAATCAAATAGCGTTACGCGAGTTCTGCCGTGCGCAGAGCGGCATCGGGGCTTCCGGGAATTCATCCGAGCTTGAGTCGGACTCGCTCCAGCGTGTGGGGCGAAATCTCCTACGCTTTGGGCGTATCTCCTCGTCCGAGAGATCAGATGTGAACCGCGACCGCTCCAACTTAGATCGCCCTTCTTCGTAGGAATCTGTAGTTACATAAGAAAAAAATACTTACAATTAATGAACACTGCTGCACGCATGAAGAGATGCAATATACTCACTGAATAGTCCTTTCACAGTCACCTCGAACTCAGGAAACCCTGGTCCTGGTGGCCCCCCCTTTCGCACTAGCTTGACAGCCTTATCGGTGGACACCTTCGGCCATAAACAGTTGTTTCCCGAGACCCACGAGTAAGGCACGATCTCCACCTCTTGGGTTAGCCTAAATTCCACAATTGCATACATCCCTGAAAATGAACAGAAAAACTGATGTGAGAAAGTCATCAACACTAACCGGATCTAAAAAGTTATGCAAAAGCTAAACATTTACCTTGAGCTGCTGAAATGGCGGCGGTTTCACGGTACCGTCGCTTTCACAGTAAAACGTAAAACCCGGTCGTGGTAACACCAGAGTCCAAACCACGCGCTCCTAGAGCCGACAATGCACAAATATCGATGGATTTCGTTGGCTATGGATTTTAACCGATATGTGACACTAGCGGCACCTAGAAAAGTTGAAAACTACATGACGTCGGGGTTAAACATCAATAAATAAATAAATTGGTAGCGTTTGTTTTATTCATACATTAGTTTGGTGACTTATCAATTTAAACAAATCTCCACAGACAAATTATAACAGCACAGTCGTACTGTCGGTGTCATCCTTGGTGCTATCCTACGTTGATTTCATGAATTGCAGTTTACACCAACACGCTCGGCAACAAGCAGTAAAATAATTATGCCTAATTTTTAACAACAAACAAGAAAAGTAGCGAGAAGTATATTCTTATTGAATCATATACCGACTAACCACTGATCGGTATAGCCAGCTTCGCGACCTCACCTGTCTCGGCTGGCAACCCGATTTTCGAGTTTTGTTCTTTTTCTTTGTTTCTTCCGTGTCCACGTTGTTGCTGTCGCGTGTCAACGGTTATACAACGGTGTTACTAAAATATTTTTATTTCTGTTTTAAGTAGTATGGTGCATGTGTGGCAGTACTCACGTTGGACAATGTTCCAGAAGAACTTTTCGTCTAGTTGAACTATCTGCTTGAGTTGTCCATTTCGGGTTAGTACTTGCTTTCCATACCACGTCCTTTTTTTCCATCCCCCTCTCTTTTTGTGTTACTCGAAATTCATTCCGTTCGTGTTTTCGTAAGTAGCGTCCTAAAGGACTAGTACAGATGTTGGCTAGCGTTTCACAACTTTCGTTCACCTATAGTTGAACGGCCTACTTGTTTCTATTTTTGGGAAAGTTAGTTTAGTCTCATTCTGAACCGCTTCGTTATTTCGCGCATATCATCCGTACCACGCTTTGTTTTTTCCGTCTTCGCCCGTTCCTGTCTGGCTGGAAGCACATCCAGTCTGCGACTGTGAGCTACAGGTACGTTGACGGTGTACGTGAAAATTGCACGCACTCATGCCTTTGTCAACTTGTTTTCTTAGGTCTGCACGGTGGAGAGGGGCTTCCCCACGCCTGGGTCAAGCACATCCAGTCTGCCGCTGTGAGCTACAGGTACGTTGACAGTGTACGTGCCAATTGCCCTCACTTATGCCTTTGTCAACACAGGGGTTTCCCCACGCCTGGGTCAAGCACATCCAGTCTGCCGCTGTGAGCTACAGGTACGTTGAAGGTGTACGTGAAAATTGCCCTCACTTATGCCTTTGTCAACTTGTTTTCTTAAGTCTGCACGGTGGAGAGGGGCTTCCCCACGCCTGGGTCAAGCACATCCAGTCTGCCGCTGTGAGCTACAGGTACGTTGACGGTGTACGTGACAATTGCCCTCACTTATGCCTTTGTCAACACAGGGGTTTCCCCACGCCTGGGTCAAGCACATCCAGTCTGCCGCTGTGAGCTACAGGTACGTTGACAGTGTACGTGACAATTGCCCTCACTTATGCCTTTGTCAACACAGGGGTTTCCCCACGCCTGGGTCAAGCACATCCAGTCTGCCGCTGTGAGCTAGAGGTACGTTGACAGTGTACGTGACAATTGCCCTCACTTATGCCTTTGTCAACACAGGGGTTTCCCCACACCTGGGTCAAGCACATCCAGTCTGCCGCTGTGAGCTACAGGTACGTTGACAGTGTACGTGACAATTGCCCTCACTTATGCCTTTGTCAACACAGGGGTTTCCCCCCACACCTGGGTCAAGCACATCCAGTCTGCCGCTGTGAGCTACAGGTACGTTGACAGTGTACGTGACAATTGCCCTCACTTATGCCTTTGTCAACACAGGGGTTTCCCCACGCCTGGGTCAAGCACATCCAGTCTGCCGCTGTGAGCTACAGGTACGTTGACAGTGTACGTGACAATTGCCCTCACTTATGCCTTTGTCAACACAGGGGTTTCCCCACACCTGGGTCAAGCACATCCAGTCTGCCGCTGTGAGCTACAGGTACGTTGACAGTGTACGTGACAATTGCCCTCACTTATGCCTTTGTCAACACAGGGGTTTCCCCACACCTGGGTCAAGCACATCCAGTCTGCCGCTGTGAGCTACAGGTACGTTGACAGTGTACGTGACAATTGCCCTCACTTATGCCTTTGTCAACACAGGGGTTTCCCCACGCCTGGGTCAAGCACATCCAGTCTGCCGCTGTGAGCTACAGGTACGTTGAAGGTGTACGTGAAAATTGCCCTCACTTATGCCTTTGTCAACTTGTTTTCTTAAGTCTGCACGGTGGAGAGGGGCTTCCCCACGCCTGGGTCAAGCACATCCAGTCTGCCGCTGTGAGCTACAGGTACGTTGACGGTGTACGTGACAATTGCCCTCACTTATGCCTTTGTCAACACAGGGGTTTCCCCACGCCTGGGTCAAGCACATCCAGTCTGCCGCTGTGAGCTACAGGTACGTTGACAGTGTACGTGAAAATTGCCCTCACTTATGCCTTTGTCAACTTGTTTTCTTAAGTCTGCACGGTGGAGAGGGGCTTCCCCACGCCTGGGTCAAGCACATCCAGTCTGCCGCTGTGAGCTACAGGTACGTTGACAGTGTACGTGACAATTGCCCTCACTTATGCCTTTGTCAACACAGGGGTTTCCCCACGCCTGGGTCAAGCACATCCAGTCTGCCGCTGTGAGCTACAGGTACGTTGAAGGTGTACGTGAAAATTGCCCTCACTTATGCCTTTGTCAACTTGTTTTCTTAAGTCTGCACGGTGGAGAGGGGCTTCCCCACGCCTGGGTCAAGCACATCCAGTCTGCCGCTGTGAGCTACAGGTACGTTGACAGTGTACGTGACAATTGCCCTCACTTATGCCTTTGTCAACACAGGGGTTTCCCCACGCCTGGGTCAAGCACATCCAGTCTGCCGCTGTGAGCTACAGGTACGTTGAAGGTGTACGTGAAAATTGCCCTCACTTATGCCTTTGTCAACTTGTTTTCTTAAGTCTGCACGGTGGAGAGGGGCTTCCCCACGCCTGGGTCAAGCACATCCAGTCTGCCGCTGTGAGCTACAGGTACGTTGACGGTGTACGTGACAATTGCCCTCACTTATGCCTTTGTCAACACAGGGGTTTCCCCACGCCTGGGTCAAGCACATCCAGTCTGCCGCTGTGAGCTACAGGTACGTTGACAGTGTACGTGAAAATTGCCCTCACTTATGCCTTTGTCAACTTGTTTTCTTAAGTCTACACGGTGGAGAGGGGCTTCCCCACGCCTGGGTCAAGCACATCCAGTCTGCCACTGTGAGCTACAGGTACGTTGACAGTGTACGTGACAATTGCCCTCACTTATGCCTTTGTCAACACAGGGGTTTCCCCACGCCTGGGTCAAGCACATCCAGTCTGCGACTGTGAGCTACAGGTACGTTGACGGTGTACGTGAAAATTGCACGCACTCATGCCTTTGTCAACTTGTTTTCTTAGGTCTGCACGGTGGAGAGGGGCTTCCCCACGCCTGGGTCAAGCACATCCAGTCTGCCGCTGTGAGGTACAGGTACGTTGACAGTGTACGTGACAATTGCCCTCACTTATGCCTTTGTCAACACAGGGGTTTCCCCACGCCTGGGTCAAGCACATCCAGTCTGCCGCTGTGAGCTACAGGTACGTTGAAGGTGTACGTGAAAATTGCCCTCACTTATGCCTTTGTCAACTTGTTTTCTTAAGTCTGCACGGTGGAGAGGGGCTTCCCCACGCCTGGGTCAAGCACATCCAGTCTGCCGCTGTGAGCTACAGGTACGTTGACGGTGTACGTGACAATTGCCCTCACTTATGCCTTTGTCAACACAGGGGTTTCCCCACGCCTGGGTCAAGCACATCCAGTCTGCCGCTGTGAGCTACAGGTACGTTGACAGTGTACGTGAAAATTGCCCTCACTTATGCCTTTGTCAACTTGTTTTCTTAAGTCTGCACGGTGGAGAGGGGCTTCCCCACGCCTGGGTCAAGCACATCCAGTCTGCCGCTGTGAGCTACAGGTACGTTGACGGTGTACGTGAAAATTGCCCTCACTTATGCCTTTCTCAACTTGTTTTCTTAGGGCTGCGCGGTGGAGAGGGGTTTCCCCACACCTGGGTCAAGCACATCCAGTCTGCCGCTGTGAGCTACAGGTACGTTGACGGTGTACGTGAAAATTGCCCTCACTTATGCCTTTGTCAACTTGTTTTCTTAGGTCTGCACGGTGGAGAGGGGCTTCCCCACGCCTGGGTCAAGCACATCCAGTCTGCCGCTGTGAGCTACAGGTACCTTGACGGTGTATGTGATAATTGCCCTCACTTATGCCTTTGTCAACTTGTTTTCTTAGGGCTGCACGGTGGAGAGGGGTTTCCCCACACCTGGGTCAAGCACATCCAGTCTGCCGCTGTGAGCTACAGGTACGTTGACAGTGTATGTGATAATTGCCCTCACTTATGCCTTTGTCAACTTGTTTTCTTAGGTCTGCACGGTGGAGAGGGGCTTCCCCACGCCTGGGTCAAGCACATCCAGTCTGCCGCTGTGAGCTACAGGTACGTTGACGGTGTATGTGATAATTGCCCTCACTTATGCCTTTGTCAACCTGTTTTCTTAGGGCTGCACGGTGGAGAGGGGTTTCCCCACACCTGGGTCAAGCACATCCAGTCTGCCGCTGTGAGCTACAGGTACGTTGAC